ACGCTATTCAGTTATTCTAGTACTTTTTTAGCATATCGGATAGTTTCGGGGTATTCCCCCTTTCATCGAATGGATTGTAACTATTTAATTTTCATTCTTTTCGTTACCATTCGTGGCGTGAGCATAGAGTGTGACAGACTAGTGGGAATTCCTTTAATGAGAATTTTTATAATCGAGTTTAAAAAGAAACATAAATATATTTAATAATATTTATGTTTCTTGTCTTCTAATTTATTCTCAACTTCTAGTCCGACGTCTGAAAATTTTATGGTGGATAAATTTTGGAGTGGAGTCAGCCAAATCTGTGATACGAATAGCAAAGTACGGCAATTTGTCCCGATTTGTGAAGCAAATGACGATACTACCTTTCTCAAACGCCAAAGTAGAAAGAATAATTTCCGACCTTAATAGGATTAAAAATCAAGATCTAAATCGATTTAATAATAAGAATGTTGCTGCAATAATGCATGAAAAAGAGTTGCTACGACAGTTGGAAGGGGGATGTCGCAGAATTGATCCTCACAGAAGTATTATCAAGTTAATGAACTCAAAACAACTTTATGAAAATGATACCCAACATAAAGACGAAGAATTTTAACTTACGTTTCATTTTATTATTTTAATTTTTTGATTACATTTTTATTTAGAATTTAATTCAAAAAAGAAAAACATTGGTTTCTTTAATTAATGGCGGTTTCTTTGTTAATTTTATTATTTTATCGTTTAATCAAGGAAACATTCATGTTTTTACGTTCTAACACGACAGCAAAAATATATAATAGATTTTTAGTATTTTCTCGTTCTCTTTTGGTAGAATTCAGTAGCTTTTAACCTCCATAAGCAGTAGATTCGTCAAGTGAAATCTGGTCACGCTGATTGCACCCCCCAGTAGTGCGCGCCAGACTCTCAAGCGTAGAACAAACATTAATACAAAAAAAGAAGAGTAAAGAGCCTAAGGGAAAAAGCTTGAAAACTAATTGAAGAACGAAGGAATCTGTTATCAAAAAGAGATAAGAAAGAAAACCAAAAAGAAATTTAAAAAACTTAGCAAACAGTTTCTTGAAAATATGAGAAAATATAGGAAAAATTGATGAATAAAAATCCTGGAGAATCACATTAATAGAACAGGAGGCACTAGAAAAGCGCTCAAGAAACTTACAAAAAGGCAAAAAAATGGATACCTAAGCTAAGAGATAAAGAGTCGCCTATCACTTCTCATAGTACAATCCAAAATATAGCAACATAGTATTATCTCTTACTATATTCAAATCAGCAAAACATACAAGCTCCCATCATAGAACATATAGAAAAATCAATAAAAGAAAGTACGGAAGTTATACCAAAAAATATTAAAATCGGAAGTTGAAAAAGCGATAAAAACTCAAAACATACATAGAAAAAGTTCCCGGTCCAGATAGAATCACAAACGAATTTATGAAAGGGACAGTCAAAGAAATAAGCCCAACACTAACAAAGGTTTTCAATGAGATTCTTTAACAGGCAGTATCCCAAGCCAATGGGTAGAATCACACAATAATCCTATACAAGAAAGGGAAATTACAGACCCATATTTCATATCCAATGTATATAGAGTCGACGATAAAGTAATTTTTGACAGAATTAAACCAGGCTCGATGAAAATCAACCTATGGAACAGGCAGGGCCTAAGAAATATTTTAATACAATTGATCGTGTACATACAATTATGCAGCTGGTACAAAAATACAACGATTACAAGAAAACTATTTAACTAGCTTTTATAGATTACTACAAGGCTTTCGATAGCTTTAAACATGAATTTGTATGGTAAAGCCTGACCGACAGGGAATACAAAACGTTTACATAAACATCATCAAAAATATCGTAAAGGTAGTACTAGGCTGAAATCTACGGAAGATGTTCTTCCAATTGAAACAATGAGTCCCTTTTACTAAAGCTGTTTACAGCAGTGCTAGAATAAATGTTCAGAAAATTGGAATGGGAAAATCTGGGGCTAAATATTGACGGATCGAGAATGAAACATGTAAGATTTGCAGATGACTTGGTTCTATTCGAAGAGGACCCGCTACTGCTGGAACCCATGGTACAAGCCCTAGCAGAAAAAACTAGAGAAGTGGGTCTAGAAGTTAACTCGAGCAAAACTAAAATTATGACAAATTTTACCTATAAATATAACCATCAATGGACAGAAACTCGAATGTGTAGAGAAACATGTATATCTTGGCCAGATAATATCACACAATAACCACATGCTTAAAGAAATAGAATTGGAGAATTAATATAATTGCAACTGGATGGAAAAAATATTGGGCCTTGAAAGAAATTATGAAAACTAAGAATTGGGCATTAAGACCAAGAAGAACACGTTTGATACCTGTATCCTACCCTACATCACATATGGTTGTGAAACCTGGACTTTGTCGAAACACTATAGGGACAAACTAGCAAGATATTAGAGAGGTATGGAAAGGAGCATGCTAGGTTTGAAACTAATGGACAAAATTAGAAGTGTAGACATCAGGCACAAAACTAAATCAACAGACATCCTGTTGCGTATTGATCAACTCAAATGGAGATGGGTTCCGGTTCAAATGGAGTTGGGATTCCATTCTTGCAAAAAGAAGATAGGAGGATGAATTAAAAATTACCTCTGGATCCCTTTGGGTAAGACTAGCAGCAGACAGAAAGCAGTGGAAAGAGTAGGATGAGGTCTTTGCCGAAAAGCACACCGAAGAAATGTAGATTTTACTCTTATATTTTGTTTTTATATTATATATTGTTTTTTTATAATAGTCTACTTGAAATTGTTAGTTTAAAATGTAAAATGTTCGAGAAATAAAGACATTATTGTTATTACTATTATATAAAAAGTTTAACAACAAAACGATAATGAATGTGTGAATTATAACAGACAAGTAGATAATATTATTTGTCCATCTTCACAGTTATCGTAGAATTTAAACCTTTTTACTTACATCTTCTAATGGAACCATTGATTCGGCAGCTTTATCATCAGCTTTATCATCATATTTTCTATTTTTCTCCTTTCCAAAACAACTCGCAAAAATAGTATCTCCCTTACCGAATTCTTCACCATCGGTTAACGATTGAGGCATAGGCTGATTCATCGTTTCTGGCAAAAAGAAGCACAATAATCCTGATATAACCGCTAACGCTCCAAAGGTGACAGCAGGGATTTTTGGATTGAAAGAATCTAATAACGTTATTAGGGGTGTCAAAGCCCCTGAAAACCTGGCACACATTGAACCTAAGCCCAAAGCAGAATTACGAACAACAGTAGGGAACAATTCAGCTGAATAGTTATAGATGATGGCAAATGAACCCGCAATGAACAATTTTCCTGCTATTACTATCGCAGTTGAAATTATACTGCCGGCTGGTAAAAATGTGGCAACAACACATGCAATTCCACCCACGAGCATCATAGAACTTATAAGCGGTCTCCTACCCCAAATATCAAGAAAGTATATCACAGCCCCATAACTCGGAAATTCAACAAATCCCATGATTGCCGTAATGAGATATGGATTACCTTCTAACTTTCCTGAACTAAGAGTTAGCCCATAATAGGCAATAGAGTTTGCAAACCAACAAAAGCATACATTCAAAGTTTTTATTCGTAAATTTGGGGTTTTGAACAAGTCAGTTGTGCCAGCTGTAGTGGCAGCNAGAAAGTATATCACAGCCCCATAACTCGGAAATTCAACAAATCCCATGATTGCCGTAATGAGATATGGATTACCTTCTAACTTTCCTGAACTAAGAGTTAGCCCATAATAGGCAATAGAGTTTGCAAACCAACAAAAGCATACATTCAAAGTTTTTATTCGTAAATTTGGGGTTTTGAACAAGTCAGTTGTGCCAGCTGTAGTGGCAGCTTCAGATCCTTTACACGATTCAACTTTTCCTCTTGAAACGAAATGTGCTTTGTCTATATTTTCAGAGTTATTACATTTTAAAGCTTTTTCAACGATGTCGACAGATTCTTTGACACGGCCTTGAGCCCAAAGCCAACGAGGAGATTCATCCATGATCCAGATATGTGGGATTAAAAGTAAGCTGTGTAAGCCGTAGATCATTTGAAGGATTTGTCTGTTATCAATCAATGCTCCCCAGCCTGCTACTAACATAATCCCAGCAGCAAATGCTGCCTGGAAAGCTACACCACAACTGGTTCTTTTACTCGGTCCAACAAGTTCCATTGTCAAAACGAATCCAGTTATATATGAACCGGCTGACCCGAAAACACCATACAAAAAGCGAATGACTAGAAATGTCCAGTACTCCGGAATGAAAGCAACCGCGACACCGAATATGAGTTGTAATACGCCTGACCAACAGAAAATAGTTTTTCTACCGTATTTATCGGCCATTGTCCCCAAAGTTACAGCACCAGTGAACACCCCCAGCATGTACACAGTTTGCACAATAGAGCCCAGCCATCTTTGTTCACAAACTAAATTCCATTCTATAGCATGCGATGAAGATCTATATGTTGTATCGAAAACCCACTTGGTGCAAGTAATCGTATCATTATCTTGATACATAAGACAGTTATGTAGGCTGCCTGATGATGTTTTCGGTACTGCTGCAAGTATTTCCGATGAGTTCCATGCCGCTATAGATTCGTTTGTGTCGACGCCGTCGATCCAGCATCTGGAAAAATCATTTGTTTGTAGTTTACTTACTTTTACATAGCTTACAGAACCCTATCAAATTGTTTATTTAAAATCTCCATCCATAAAATAACTGATGTAGTAATAATATAAATGGTAATTGATATATCATTAGTGTTACATTAATAAAATACTAACTTTTTTTTGAAACTTAAACATTATTGATTAAATTGACCACGTTGGTGTACTTAATTAATAAATGATCATTTTCTAAATGAAATGTCATCCTTACAGACTTAGCATGTAATTTATACCTACTGATCTAACATACATTTAGGTATCTGTAAGAATAAATAAAACAAAAACATTTTAAGATATTTATTAACTGTATTAAGTAAAATTAACACTTACGAGATACAGTATAGTTATACGGTTTCAAAAAATTTATAGCACCAAAACGCTTACATTCTAAAGGTAAATGCCTCGTCTTAATATTGTCTTTTAGTAAAGCTAATGCTTAATTTAAAGTGAACGTCATGCGCTCATATTCCTCGTACTACGAGTATGCCTAACATTTGTTTATATTGAATGTACAAGAAATATAGCACCTTTAGCATTGTACGTACAATTTTTTTTTTGTCAAAGGATGGTTGTATAAAATACCTTGTCATTAATGATAGTTGGCGTTTATTTAAATATATATTTTAAGCTTTATTGTCATAACAATAATAATATTTATATTTATTTAACTAAATTAACTCATTATTGAATTCTCTGCTGTTAACAGCCCGTCGTCTTCTTCTTTATTTCAGTATGGCAATCGGTTTCTTGTTCATACTTACTTTACGTTTCAAAAAGTTGAAAAGTGAATATTTGTACTAAGTACATAGTATAATGAAATTTTTTTGTATACGTAAACGTGGTAAGCACCCGCTATCCAGCACGATGTACAATTACTATACCAATCGTTTCCATGTTTTTTAATGCTTTGGTAGGCAGATAGTCATACCGCCTACATGATGGCAAGAGGTCACCGTTGCTCATGGGTATCAGCAATACAGCCGAACCGCTGCCTACTACAAAATTATTTTCATGTTAAAAGGTTTAAATATTTTAAATTTTAATTAGTGGCATTTTGAATATACTATTGAAAATGATTTCGCTCTAAGTTATTGAATAAAAATATGTTTTACCTTTTTCGTTTAGCTACATTAACTACGGTTACTTATCTAATGTAAATAGAATTACCTACCAACTAATAATTAAGTAAGTTTAAAAATTGGATAATGTCATTTCTGTAAACTATTCCACGAATGTCGCGGGGCTTTGGCAACTTACGATTTCGAAATCATTGTATTGTTATTATTTACTTTTAGATGTATAAGACTGGTGCACGAATTCATGGCCCAACTAGTGTTAAGTGATTATAGTAACTGATATACATACATTCCAACGGGAATGCCAATACTCGTCTTGAGTAATGGCGTCGAAGCCTCAATTGTTTCTTATGACTAATTAGCCACTGCAATTCTTGGCGGCCGAACCAACAGGGTGTGGTTCATAGACGCGCAGGCTTACAGTACATCCTACTACAAGTATTAACACAAATCAATTTTTTTTGGATGTTTCATGAACACGGACTAAGTAAGAATTTTCTTAGAAAAAGTACGGTCAAGCCTGTGCGATTCAAGCAACAATCTACATCGCACACAATTAAAAATCATTAAAATGCTTAGGTTAAAAAATAAATTCTGAAATTTAGAAATATGCACTTCACCTTTTTTCATAATTTGAACAGAATAAATATTGTTAAAAATGTTCTTTGCATTGAGGAACTTATTTGAGTATTGTTTCGGTGTTGCTGTCATTGTACAAAAAATTAAATTTAACTAAAAACTATTACATATTATATAGTAGAACACTACATATAAAAGTGTTAAGGTTGTGTCCATAACATCATTTATCAAAGAGACTATAGTTGTTTTAATTGATTTATTTAATGTGAATCCGTCAATCTGGCGAAAAGCCCATTATTATGAGGCTACTTTACGTACTCTGAGATAAATAAAGCCATTAATTTAGTTGTGATTATTTTTACTTTACCTTTAGCGAAAGCAGCACTAGTCTCCGACTTTTTTCAGACCCGATTCGGTCGGTATGTGAGTGAATATCGAATGAAATATATGATTAATGCTGCCGTATTTTATCAAATCGAATATAACGAAATATCAACAGCTACTACTGGTTTATGTTTAAGACATATCTACCAAATTATCGAATTCGATTGCTGGACACATATTCATATTACAGTCGAACTTATTTTCGTTTACTTCTACATATATTTTAATTAAGATAATTTAATTTCAACAATACATTAACAATAGTAGGTAATCTATAGTTTTCTACATTCCTATTTAAAAGAGTATAATTTTAAAGCAATATACATTTCACTAAAAAATGAACACCTCAAAGTCTCTGAAAGGCAATTTTATCTCTACACAATAAATGTAAAGACTAATTAATTCCTATGCTTAAGACTATTTTATTAAAACTACGACAATGATTAGAATGGCTTAAGTCTCTTTTGAATTTATTACATCTAATGATGCACATATAGAACCTGCTTTTTCGTCATATGAATATGATATATTATTATATCAGCCAGTCTTCATGCAAATGTTCTAGAGCACCGATCTTGCTTATTTGTATTGTTGACTAGACAACCTTAAGCTTGATAAATATCTAAAAGTTCTTCAAGTAATCTCTGCCTAATTTAATAATAATATATAATATATATAGTTGCTTTTTATTTTTGTTGTAGATAAATAAATTTGCGTTGGGTGCCCACTATACGTTTTTGTAATCTAATTTGTTTTAAAAAGTTGGTAGTAAATATATTTTGGCACATTTTCCATTTTTAGTGTTCGTATCAATTTTCTTTAAAAACATTGCGGAAACTTTATGCTTATTAGCTGAAATTTTACTTTAAAATTATACATTATGTATGTTACACGTTCCTAGTTCAATTATTCCTTTGTTTTCTTGGTTTCATCTAGAGGAACCATGGTCTCAGGAATATCGGGAATACTATCAGTCAGTGGCTGACCACTGCAGTTGGTGAAACAATTGTCGCCGATTCCGAATTTTTCTCCATCTTCCAGAGATTGGGGTAAGTGGCGGCCAATGGTTTCCGGTAAGAAGAAAGTAGAGAACCCAGAGAATAAAGCCAAAAATCCGAATAAAATAGTCGGAATCTTGGGATTTAGGGTATCTAATAAATTTATCAGGGGGGTTAAAGCTCCGGACACACTGGCGCACATACTGCCCAGACCAACTCCAGAACTACGAACAACGGTCGGGAATAATTCTGCAGAATACTTGTAAATAATAGAGAATGAACCTGAAATGAAAAGCTTTCCTACCATCACCATTCCAGTGGTAGTTATAGATCCATGAGGAAGAAAGAATATAACCAAACATGCTATTCCACCTAGCAACATCATTGTACTAATAAGAGCTCTGTGTCCAACCCGGTCCAAGAAGTAAGTTATAATTACATAGCTAGGTAACTCTACGATACCCATTAAGAACATAAGAAAATATGGGTTTCCATTTAATTTTCCAGCGTTCAATGAAATCCCATAATAGACAACGGAGTTTGTGAACCAGCATCCGCAAATTATAAGAGTTTTCTTCAACATTCTTGGAGTCTTGAAAAGATCATTCGTGCCCGCAGATTGTTCATCTGAATATTTTGCATTTGTCGCTTTACATTGTGAAATTAAAGAAGACGTATCTATGTTCTCGGTTATACCGTTCATCTTCAACGCTTTTTCAATTATTGCGACCGATTCTCGAGCACGGCCTTGTGACCAAAGCCACCTTGGGGACTCGTCCATTATAAACCAGTGCGGAAGTAACAGAGCTGCGTGCAGACCATACAGTATTTGCAAGTAAAATCTATTATCAATTAAATATCCCCAAGCAGGAACTAACATAATCCCGATTGCGAACATTACTTGAAATGTAACCCCGCAAATTGTTCGTTTGCTTGGTCCGACGAGTTCCATCGTTAATACGAATCCAGTAATATATGCTCCCGATCCAAATATTCCATATATAAATCTGACAACTAAGAAAGAGTAGTATTCATTTGTTAATGCAACCAAAACTCCGAGCAGCAATTGCATAACTCCAGACCATACAAAGGCAGTTTTCCTTCCATATTTATCAGATACTCGACCAAATATGAGAGAGCCACCCACAACGCCAAACATGTAAACGGTTTGAGCGATAGCGCCCATCCAACGCTGATTGCATACAAAATTCCATTCAATACCCCTAGAAGAAGAAAAGTACTGCGTGTTGTAAACCCAAGATTCACATTCCGCCGTAGATGTGTGGTTCCTTGTGTACATTCTGCACGAATCAAATTTGTCATTTTCATTCACTGGAATAGCTGCCATTACCAAAGAAGAGTTCCATGAATTTGTGGCATTGTAGCTGTCAATTCCGTGTAGGAAGCATCTGTAAAACATTTTTAAATAATTATTATTAGTGCACTGTCGTAAACATTCATAGATTTAAGGGTGCAAATATGCTAGCGAGTGTAAGCTACTAAATTTCATTAGAAGGAAGTTATTGGCAGTGGTGTAGCGATCTTAACTAGCGCCCGGGTCATAATGCCTTTTTAACGCAATATTTTTCATAAATCAACTNATTCCGTGTAGGAAGCATCTGTAAAACATTTTTAAATAATTATTATTAGTGCACTGTCGTAAACATTCATAGATTTAAGGGTGCAAATATGCTAGCGAGTGTAAGCTACTAAATTTCATTAGAAGGAAGTTATTGGCAGTGGTGTAGCGATCTTAACTAGCGCCCGGGTCATAATGCCTTTTTAACGCAATATTTTTCAAAAATCAACTGTAATAAAAATAAAAGTTATCCAAAATATTTTTTTTTTTAAGAATTGACGCCCTTTTGTGAGAAGTGCCCGGGCATAATGCCCTTAATTGTCTCCCTCGCTACGCCACTGGTTATTAGTATCCATATTAAATAAATTTTACACATTGAAGGATTGTTTTATATGCCTGGTATTGATCAGTTAAAAAAATTATGATATGTGTGCAAAATGCATGTTCCTGTGACATGTGATGGACACCAAACTCTATTTTAAGTAATGAAAATGTACCTACCGTTAAAATCAGAACTAAAATGTGTTAGAATAAGCTTTAGTATTAGTAACCCTTGCACTCAATTTTTATGTTAACTACTCAATTAAGTTAGCCCACACTAAGTGCACGAATTTAGTTAACTTTAATTAGTTAGTTGATCACTTCGTTTATCTGGTTAGTTACCATGACAACTGAACCACGTGGTCTGGGTTTGATTTCCAGTCGAAGTCTATATTAAATACATTTGATTTTCAAGGTCTTAGTGTGCTTGTGTTCGTTCGGTATGTCTGTTTTCGTCAACCATAAAACGAGAGTTCATTGTAGCATTAAGCCTGTTCAGTAAGTAATGTTTATTTATTTATATATCAATATTCACCTTTATTGCCAAATCTATAGTTTCATTCTTAGTCTTAATATTAATATTGTGCATTTAAATAAACAGGTATTTAACACGTTGACTTTTTTATTATTGCTTAGGTGGGTGGACGAGCTCACGGCCCACCTGATGTTAAGTGGTTACCGGAGCCCATAGACATCTGCAAAGTAAATGTCACCACCTGCCTGGAGGCATGAGTTATAAGGTCTCAGTTTTTACAGTGCAACGTCTGCCCCACCCTTCAAACCGCAACGCAATACTGCTTCACGGCAGAAATAGGCAGGGTGGTGGTACCTACCCGTACGGACTCACAATACGTCCTACCACCAGTAATTACGCAAATTACAATTTTGCAGGTTTGATTTTTATTACACGATGTTATTTCTTCACCGTGGAAGTCAATCGTGATTAAGTACGTATTTTTTCATTATAAAAATAGGTACTGGCCCGCGATATTTGAACACCATTGCGTCGCTACATACGAATGAAAGCAGACGTCTTATCCTTTAGGCCAAGATGACTTCATTGACTGTAATGTAAGTCACCGGTACCCTACGTACGCGCACTGAAATAATTATGTCGATTTCTATTACTGAGCGCCTGGATTGTCTAACATTCCTTCTTTTGTTTTTAATGTATGTTTTGGTCTTTTAGGTCTCTTATAGATTCATTCTCAGTATCTTTTGATACGTCTTTCCCATAGTCTACTAGATACTCCGGCGCCTTAATAATAAAATTGAGGAGGGAAATTCACATAACTACTTCAGTACGTCATGTAGGGCACCGGTGACCTACACTTGTTTACATTTCAAATAAATCAACAATTCCACGATCAATAAAATCAAGAAACCTTCACCGATGAATAATAGACGAGAAAGAACTCATTTTACAACTAGATATAATAACATTTCACAATATAACAGCACCATCACCGTGAAACAATGAACGAAACTCAAGTGCTATTAAATGTTACCGAAAAATATTTACTTACGTTGAATAAACCAGTCATAGCAGCACTTTGTCCACGTACAAAAAGAACACCGTGGTGAAACTCAACATTACGTACTTAATACGTCTTGACCTAACTCCCTCAAGCAAAACTATGAAAACTTAAAGCAAAATAATGTTATGCCAAACCCAACCATCCGACAAAACTTTAGGAATAAGTACAGGCAGGAAAACTCTATTCAACTTCACACATGTATTAAAATTTTTAAACAAAAGTTTATGTTCCTTTAATAACTTCACAATTCTTACTCTTAGTCAATATTTCTAAACACTGTAAGTAAACAGGAATCCGGTACATGAAATCCCAAAAAAAAAAACAATCATGCACATGCAATTTAAACCAGTATCGCAATATTGTGTTTGAACTATGCAAACATAAAGATCTTTGAGTTTTTCATGTATATATTATACTTACTTTACGAACTTAAATTTTTAACATAAATTAAAATTTACATGATTATACATTTTTGATTATGTTGTACACAACAGAACCATATTAATAATTAATAGGTATAACCGTTCGCAAAAAATATATTCGTAGGATCAAAAATCTTTGAGTGTGCATACACAAAATATTGGTCATAGGGATTTGTGTATTAAGCATAGTAGTTAAATATGTGATGTCTATTACCTGTGATCCGGTACTGCGGCCACTGTCACTAAAGACAGCATATGCATACCAGCCGTCATAGCAGCAAGGATATGCAGAATAAATTGAAAACATTGGTACCGCCCGAAATCACCTGAAAAAGGAACAGATTCATAAGGTAATTTTTTTTTTATTGCTTAGATGGGTGGACAAGCTCACAGCCCACCTGGTGTGAAGTGGTTACTGGAGCCCATAGACATCCACAACGGAAATGCGCCACCCACCTTGAGATATAAGTTCTAAGGTCTAGTTTTTTTTTTTTTTTTTTTTTTTTTTTTTTTTTTTTTTTTTTTTTTTTTTTTTTTTTTTTNGGATTTGCTAACAGCTGCCCGAGCGCCTCCGAAGGAGACCTAACAACTCAAGAGCAATTGCTTCGCGAATGAATCTACTGCCGGATCGGAATCGCGACCCGCTGAGAAGATCCGGCGAGAAACTCAGCGGGCTGATGCATGGGCTAGGTTGCACGTCGACCTCTTTGTCGAGTTCGACGAGTACGGTTACTGGGGTCCCTAAGCCTGCTCCTAGTATTAGAGCTGAAGGCATCTAATGCAAAGGTTATTGGATCTAATGGATCCGTAAGGACGTGTCTAGGGCGTCGACGGTGACTGGCTCCTGCATGATCAGGATTCGGTGAGTAGTCAGCGGCGGCAACGATAAGGCGATTATCATGACACAGCCTTATCGAAGTACCGTTCCGACGCTGACTTCATGTATTTCTGGATTGATTCAAGGCCCAGGTCGTCGTGTAGGTCAACGTTCCTCACGAACCACGGAGCCCCGACTGCTAACCTGCAAAAAGGTCTCAAGTATAGTTACGACGGCAGTACGCAACGACAGTATAGTTATTTTTAAAGAAATAGCCGAATCACCTTGCAACGTTAACTAATATCATGTAAGATTTTCTGGGTATGAATTCGAATGCTTAATTAGTAGCTGTTATGCGTTTATACAGTTGTAATATATGCACAAATATACGTAAGATATATATTTATAACAATATTTGTAGAGTAAGTATGTATCTGACTGTTATCGCGTTTGGCCTACACTGTGACACATTGACCTGTAAACGTAACCGCAATAAGTACTTTTGTCACATAATTTTACATGGGCTGTAGTGCTGCGCTGTTTTAGGACCAAAAAATTCTAGTTATGATTCTTACTTCCATCTGCGGTGCAAGAGTAGGTTATTTAAACGCGATTAATATAACGAATAATAACATGACTTGTACACTGGTCCGTTCATTAACACGAAAAATATTAAAGTTATCGGGTAATTTGTGTCTAGAAAATATCTATTGGAATCATATACAGTGACAAATTATGTTATTTTTTTAAGTTTGTGTAAGTAGTTTAGTAGTTTGAGTTTAGTTTATTGAGTACTAATATATATATAATTTTTTTGTTTTCCAAAAATGCGCCTGTTTTATTATCAAGTATCTAATTGACTTAAATTGTTATAAATCTAAGTTACAGTAAAGAAAAAAAAATTACCGTGAAACAAAATTAGAGAAAATGAACCCGCTAGTTGGATGTGAACATATTACGACAATCAATTCGTAATAAAGTATTTTTTATTTGACTTTGTAATGCCTGTAACCTCTGAGGGCGTATTCGGTATGGGCACGAACTATCGTCGGCATTGTTGACACAGATGCGAATGCCTTTAATAATATTGAACGTTACCGATAACAGAAACCTTGATAACTATTTTAACAAATCGTTTTTATTTTTGAATCAGGAAGTTAAAAATACAAGTAATTAAAACACGATCCGTGAACTCCAGCGGACTACAAAATCAATTAAAATTATTATTTCGTGTCACTGTAAAGCTAATATAATGAATGCTAAACGAATTTGAACGAATAATATTAATAAATCATTTCAAGTAGTTGGAAAAGCCACTATTCAAACAAAAATAGAGCTCTACTAGCTTTTGCCCGCGACTTTGTCCGCGTGGAATAGTCCACAAATAATCCTTTATTTTAGAACAAATTTGGTTAGCATAAAAACGTTATAGTGAGCCAACCTTAACATATAGACATATGCTGTTGCGGACTTTTCTTAGATCTTTTAAAGGGGGAACAATTCTCTCATACATTATTTTAGCGAAACTTTAACCGTTTCTGCAGCGCATGCAGCGGAAGCTCTCAAAAGGGATTAAAACCCGATTTTGAAACATTATTTATCGGTGCTCCGCTTGTATTGGTCTTAGCGTGACGTTATATATATATACCTTCCTCAATAAAAGGGCTATCTAACACTGAAAGAATTTTTCAAATCGGACCAGTAATTTCTGAGTTTAGCGCGTTCAAACAAACAAACTCTTCAGCTTTATAATACATATTATTAAAATAGCGGCTTGAAGTTATTCACGAAAATGGAAACATTGGTTAAATATTATAATATATAATAGTTGATAACTGCGGGATTGTAATGAGGACATAATCAGCCAACACCGTTTGTAACATTATTTCCGTAAACAATTTAGTTGTTTTTTTAAACTTATTGATTACAAACAAGCTTACAGTTTCCAATATCAAGTGCCAAGTTTAAGATTTTTTAAAGGCTTGTGTGTGGTACCTTATCCGTAATAGTATCTACGTAAAGTAGGCATGTACTAATTAATGTGGTCAAGAAAACGTTTCGTATGCTCCTCTAAATGGGTCATCTAGTTTTCCACTCGTATGCAGTAACATTGTTTCGACATAGAGACGAAAATAAACGTCACACAGATAATATTCTCGGATGTCTCGTTTAATCTGCGTTAATGAATCAGCCCAAGCCACCTACAATCCAACGTGTCATCACTGAATAGAATAAAGGCCGTTATTTTTGTTTGTCTATGTCTAAGATTAGTTCTTTTAAGGCAAATAAAGTATTTTGATATAGTCTACACTATAAAGTAGATATTTTTTCTGGAAAGGTTATGTTTTTATACATTATTGTTTGTGATACTGTCCTTCCAACAAACTTTAAAATTTGCTATAGACACTCTATTTACGTATGTAGAAGAAGATCCTATCCAGAATGGATTTTTTCATATACCATCGCCAACATATTGGCTACACATACGAATAGCAAACATTCCCTTAATAACAGTTGCTATAGAACTCACAGCTAGTAGCCCAAAGTGACAACACTTTTTTTTGTAAATTTCACCGTGTTTCACTCCTCCTGATTAGACAGTAATCAAGCCGCGGGGCACTTCTACTCCATTATATCGGTGTACACAGCAGGCGAAGTTTGGTTTCACTATTTGATTAATTACTATCTTAACAAAAATCAATATCTATATAGATTACAAGTACACGGAATATCTATAAACATTATAAAGATAGCGCGCCGCGGGCTTCACCCAATATTATTTCAGAGGTAAAATAAGTTTTTTTTTTAAACTTTATTGCCTTTGTAGGTAGACGAGCATACGGCCTACCTGATGGTAGACGGTTACGGTCTGTCATGGACGTCAGCAATACCAGGGGTAGAGCGAAGCCGCTCCCTACCAAAAATATTTTTATTTGTAAAGTTTAGACATAATCTAGGTGCTCTCAGCAAAATATATGGGTATAACCAGTCCGAAACCGGAGCAGGTGACTAGTTCACTACATAAAAAAAATCTCATTTACATGTATAAACAAAGTTACGACTGTGTTAACCTAAAATAGCCTCTAATATATTATATAGACTTTGATAAGAATTTCATAAAACGCGAAGATGCCCAAATTACGAAACCTGGAATTGTAGTCTTGAATAACCTTGCAACATTAAACTAAGATCGAATACGACTTAACAAACAGCAGTCATTGCCTTCTGCAATTCAACCGATAAATTCAAACAGTCTCGATATGCAATTTCTGAAGTTACTCTGCATAACATATTATCTTTACACTTATGGCCTTATTAGATAAACAAATAATTATTTATTGATTGCACGTCATTACGATATGGAAAATAAGTTATTCATTAAATTTCATTGCAAATAGTAAAACGAAAGTTTATTGACTTCTTAACTTCTAATGATATTAAGTTTATGAAGTAAATTCTAGGAGTTAAAAGTTAATTGCTCTGATATTGTATTGACCGCTAAGTACCTACTGTAACATTTTTATTTCTTGTTATAATATTTCTGTGTCCTGAATCGGTCCGTATGTTTATTATTCGAAGATAAGGGTATGGAATTTTGGTTACGTTAAGCTACTTCTAGGTACTACTTCTCTTCTTTCCGTCGTACCATTTTGGCCGCCACTCACTACCACTACCGTGACTACTTTGTGACCAGTTACGGTAATCTATCTTTTATCCTACAACCAACTTAATAAAAAACACAATAGAAGTAAAGAAATAAATTCCGTTATCCGGTATCCGTAATAAAAGTTGAAGTAACACTTATTCAAAAACTGAGAAGAGTTGCATTAAGGAAAAGCTCAGTAGCAGCCTTAACTTCAGCCCTTTTTCCACGCAACTAATAGTTTTCAACGCCATAATTCCTAGACTAATAATGAAAATGAGGCATAACGGCAAGTCCGCAGGTCGGATACCATTACCCTAAATAGTCTAGCTAAAATATTGTCCTCAATAAACACATAATATTTTATTACAACTTTGAGAGGATTGAACATGCCAATATAATGTTAATGGAGGTATTATTAATACTTAAATCATTTGTTTTGTAAATCATGCTAAAACATTTATAAAATGAACAAAAGTAAATAGTGTTTTTCTTTCAAAATCTGACAACACGTAGGTAGGTAAACAGAAAAATACTTGACTCAAATGTAAATGAGAGCTGTTTCCGCTAACTCAATGAATGACATTGAGAAGCGAGTCTAATAGTCCAGGTCGATTAACGTGAAGTCGTCAAACATTGTTTTAGGGAATTCTTGTGTGTTCATGCTAACTTCAATCGGCAAATATCGCTAGTACCTAAATGTATAGAACGCACCTAAATTTTGTGGCATTATTTTGACATACTCATTAGCCGTAATGATTTAGGGACTTTTTTACTAATTACAAAAACACTTTCTTGATAACGCGTGATTACTGTCTATCAGATATGTGTTTCAACATTTTTGATAATAGGTAGATATTAACAAC